GTTAAATAGACATTGCGTTGGAAAGTCGTTTTATGTTTGTAAAGTATTTTTAAATCTATAAACAACGTAAAATCAGTTTTCTAATGTAGACTTACGTTTGGAAGTAATGTCTTACATATTTTTATTTGAATCTTATATATATTACCTTATATTATATAAAACTTAGATTTACCTTATATTATGTTATATTTATATTTCTCATTCTAGTATTATCTATATAATTCTAAGTATTTAGTTAAAACATATAGTGTTTTATACATCAAGGCTTTTCTTTTTTAGTATTTCGTTTACAAAATTTAAATTTGCTAGATTGGTACTTTATACGGTATTATAAGATAATGTTTGTTTCTGTGTCAGAAATACTAATATTTAGGACTATATAATCATAACTAAGGGTTCGGTGTTCTTCACATTTAAGGGTATTTTGATTTTCGTAAAGGTAACTGTTCCACTAATCTGGAAATCTCGCGGCACAGTTCCTGTTTCGTACATTTTCTCGATCAAGTAGTAGATCTCATCTAACTTCTCGACAACTTCTTTAGAATAATACTAGAGAAAAAAATAGAAGGCAAGAGAAAACGAGGCCGGCTTAGATCAACATACATAGAACAAGTGAAGGAGAATGTGGGAGTCGTGGCCTATCAGGAGATCAAACAGATCGCAGGAAATAGAGAGAAGTAGAGATTGCTCCACCGACAAGGGCTTTCCTCTTAAATTAGGAGAGATATTGAGGCTAAAATAAAGTGCTGAAAATTAGTATTAGGATGTTCCTACAGTATCCCACACTATTTATAAATGCTTATTTAGATCATCTCGAAAAGAAAACTACTTTCTTAAAGAAAAAATACATAATGGCATAAAGCGACATTCATATAAGTGGAGCCAAATAAATTATTAAAAAAAATATACTAAATCGTTATTTTGTGATACTTTAATAAATTTACAAATAGACTTTTAATTATTACTAACTATCCATACCAAAGGAACTTATTTACACTTTACTTAGAAAACAATCAAATCCACATAATCTGTATAATCCTATCTTATCTCTCTGTATAAACTTTAGCAAAAATAGAGGCAGAAAAGTAAATGGAAAGCCTACACAAAACAATTAAGATTTACAGCTAAAACATAGGTAATAAAACACGTCCTCCTAAGCAAGAAATAGAACTAGTATGACTGTTTTATTAAAATTCTTCACAAGAAGAAGTTTCTCTCAGAATAGGTGATTACTTTTACATTCCGACTATTTCGCAACACGAAATTATATATCAGGTCAGTAAAACCATTTGCATATTCTTTTTTCTAAAAAAATCAACTCCCGTGCTAGCAATAAATCCTGTGTCGCGGGGGACTTTACAAACATACATTAAACGGACACAAAGGACACCCAGACTCAGAACAACAATTTGTGGATCACACAAAGTGTTGTCCCATGTGGGGATCGAACCCATAACACCCAGCGAAGTAGGAAGCGGCGAGGTGACCGCTTAAACCACTACGCCATCCGTGCAGACAATATGAATACCTTCTTGCATATTTTGCATATTTATATAATTTTATATTCAAATTGGTTTTTCATTAAATTTCCTAGAGCAAGAATGATTTTTTGATAGTACTTCCAATTGCCAATAACATACTATCATTAAGTTTTAATATTGACTATAAGATCTGATTATCCTTCTTAGTTGATATTATAAATAGAAAACTTACAGGTTCACATGACTGAAGAGTTATTTTATAAAGGCCTACATTACCATGAAAGAATCTTCTGAAAGCCTAAATACTTCTTTTTGTTTATATTTGGTAGAAATAAAGAATATCATTCTATTATTCAATATGATTATAAATCTTACACAATTGTATCACTTGTGAACTGATTGCAGCAAACGGCGCTTAAATTAAAACTTTGAAGGTTTTAATATCTTCAAGTTGCAGTTAAAATGAAACTTTACAAAATTTGATTCTATTAAAATTAACTAGAAACCAAGAAAATGCTATAGTGAACGCAATAATTCACATGTCTTGAAAACAAAACGTTCCGACATCAATAGATTAAATTGCTTCGTCATTTTATTCAAATCCATTCAAAAACTATTCAATGTTACTATAAATATTTTGCTTATGTACTCGATGATGTTTTGCTCCAAGGTCTAAAAATTCTAGGATGTATATAACATTAGCTGGACGTGCGGATGTATCGTCGCGCCGCCAGTGATTATGTCTAACGCAGGGATAGGAGAGTGGCGGAGCAGCCGCGTGCGCAGCAGGCCACACTACACATGCGACGCCTGCGCACCCCGTGCTGGGCGAGGTGCTCAGTAGAGAAACCGAACGAAGCAAAGTTAATACCGTTACAACAACGCCGACAATGGCCAAGTAGTCGCGCCTCCCTTCTGTCCAATCTGTGCGATTAGGTCTTTCTGTTCTGTTCAAGCTTCTGTTACATGGATATCTCTCAATTCCTGACCTCCTGTTAGTTTAGACTTTTTATCTGAATTACTTTTGCTATTTTTAATCAGTTTGGATATTAATCCAAACTGGTATTTTCTTTTTTTAGGTAACTTGTTTCTGTGTAAACAAATTGGGTGAACAAGATACGGGAACTATAATAAGCACTCAGATAATTCGCGTATCTTGTTCTCAGTAGCATAGCACTTTATCTTCGTCTTTATTAGAAATGGAATTTAGACCAGTGTGCCGTTTGGACCCTATGTGACTCGTCTTTGTGATTGTCCTGTCTTCAGTCTCCGTCTTTGTTTCTCCTTCCTTAGGCATGTTAAAATCATTTTGTGTCTGGGTGACCCCTGCGTAGCATCATTTTATTAAGCTTGACTTTTATGATTTAAAAAATAGTTTTCTTTCTTTACAATATACTCTTACATGTGGTTATAGTCCTTTCATACCCTTAATATTTTTTTTAATTAATAGTTTTGTACACGACCTTCATTACTATTAATTGTAATGTAGCTGCTACCACCGCTTTCATCATATTTTATACAATAAAATATGTTTGTTGGGTAATTAAAATGAATAGCTTTTATTTTTACAAGTTTATATTGTACTTGTTGTTTTAATTGTTATATTGTATACATTACAGGTTTATTGTTGTGAAATAATTATCTAGTGTGTTCATTATTTCCGAAGAGGTCTCGAAGTTTAATGCAATGTTAACCACTTTTTACTTACTTTACAAATTAATGAAGGAAATACTGAACAACCGATATCCGTCGAACTGAATACATTTGCGATTCTTCCTATCCTTGTATTCATCCCTGACTCTGTCCCAATGACGGCGTGTTTTATTTTAGACCGGCAGTGGCGCGCCAGCAGTCGGCCCCAACCCTGGTGTTTAGGTGTGTCGATGTTATCACTTATTATGCCACTCACAATACTTGAATCAAACCAGAATTCAACCATTATTTGAATCTTTAAAGCAACTTCATCAAAACGAGTTTCGGACATTTTCACAATTCTCGTTTCATTCAAGTTCTAATGATAATACGACCCCAAATTAACCTTGTGAGCCTCCTAAGATTTGCTTGTTCTGTCCTGTGTCTATATTGTGTGCTGTGTTGCTTTCCACTGTTATAATGTCTGCTTCTATACTGTAAAAATATTTAAAAAAAGATTGTTAAAGAATTATACCATAACTAATGATATATCAATATATATTTTTATCGTGTGGACAAGAAGAAAAAATATGTTTCGTAAACCAATTCGTATTAAAAAAAGTTGAACGATTTTACTTACTTCTATATTTTGGATGAATGAATAGATAATAATAATAAATATTGAGGATGCCCTGACACTGAAGTACGGCACATGAGTGCAGGGTCTAACATCGACATGAAAGATCGAACCTTGATTATGGTCAAAACTCAAAAGGATCCAAAGTCCAGATCCAGGTCAGGATCCAGTTGAGCATCCTATCTTGGGAGCATCCCAAAAGCCAATGGAAAGCAATATTTCAGTATCACAATATCTTGAGCACGTTGCATGCAATATAGTCCTCTCCTAGTAAATTAGGGTACTCATACCCAAGGCAGCATGCTAGATACCTACTTTATCACACTAGTTTAACACTTCTGTTTTCAATACTTGAAGTCTGAAAATACCTGTTCGTCATTCATTTCAGGAACTATTTCTTTTTATTTGATCTCATACGTCGCAACAAAATTATTATTATATTTCTTATTATATATTAATTATGTATCTTAAAACACGAGAGATTTGAGTACAATCTTGGTATATTATCCTACCAAGCCTCATTAACAGGATTGTCAGTATTTTGGCCTTTATTAGTAAGAGTGTCTTGACTTTGGAATTTCGTAATCACCGTTTTTGATCACAACTTTTATACATAATGTTTTAATGTAGCAAGAAGAGTCACTTAATTTTTATTTTTAACATTAGTATAATTTATTAAAATTCACAAATTCATACTAACAAAATAGATATAAAGTTTATTAATAGATGTAGCTGTTAGAGAATTAATTAAAATTATATAACGGTATAGACCAACAATGTACACCATTATTTAGTTTATAATAATTAGATTTAAAAGGTTAGTTTAGAGATAGTTATAGGAATCAAGAAATAAACAATCTTTTACGAAGTGTAACTAAGCAAGTTTGTTAATAATGATTTGTACATTAGGATCAGAAGGTAACTTGTTTTAATTAATCCAAATTATAATGTGTAGAAATATATTTCTTAAGACGAATAATTGGAATATATTCAAGATGCAGTGGCTAATTGAATTTAATTGGCATATATACATAACAGCTATTACAAATTATCTAAACTACAAAATTGAATGGCATTAATAATACCATAGCAGCTTCAAAGCTTTCGATGGCAAAAGAAATTCATAAGATTTTTAATCGTTTTTACAGAACTCGAAGCCAGCCCTACATATACTCGTATGGTGAAGCTTATGCGTTTAGCCCGTGTATTGTGGTTTTAAAATTCTAATTCTTGTTTTGGGTTGTGTACAGGAGGTTAGCTGACGAAGATGACGAGCTCTCGGAGGTACAACCAGATGCGGTGCCTCCTGAAGTGCGGGAGTGGCTCGCGTCGACCTTCACGAGGCAGCTGGCAACGGCAAAGCGGAAGTCTGATGAGAAGCCCAAGTTTCGGTCGGTGGCTCACGCTATTCGTGCAGGGATTTTCGTGGACAGAATCTACAGGAGGGTTACTAGTACTGCGCTCATGCAGTTCCCTCAGGATGTCATTAGAGTGCTTAAGGTCAGTAGACAATAAAATCTTATTCTACTAACTGTTGATTTTTGTATCGTATTCAAAGAATTTAGATTGATAGAAACACCTGTCGTAAAAATATTCAACTATAACTCAAATAGAAAACTACCAATACGAGTACAGAGAAAATAGTTGTTTAATATTTAAGTTGCAGGTGTCCATGGGCGACAGTTGTTGCTTACCATCAGGTGACCCGTCTACTCGTTTGCCCCCTTATACCATAAAAAAAAGATCTACGTCTACTTGATCCATCTTTCAAATAATCTAAATAGATCAAATTTTAAGTTGGACCTGCCAAGACAACTTTTAAAATCGTATATTAATGACACTTTAGTGTGGTAAACAGTTGGACCGTACTGCCTGGTTTTATTCCTATCATCTTCAAACAGCATTTTTTAGGATATTTAAATTACAGTCTAAAGCGAAATGCTAAGTAAAAGTATCAAACTAGATGCTTTCCTTGCGTTAATCAGTTTATTTTGAATCATTAAGTCAAAACTATAACTATTACACTTCCTACTCACATACGCCAACAGTATTTGATGTATATCGCAATAAATACAGTATAAACTATTTATTGCGCACACTTTGTCGCTCAGCTCGGCTGGAAACCAACAAACACACCTTAATATTAATTAACACTTTGAGTTATTAGTTTTATGATAGCTTTATTTGTTGATATTTATTTTATATATTGTTTTGTTATGTTTATGTTTGTTTGGGTCCCGACGACCTCACTCACTCGGTGAAACAAAAGAATTGCTTTTACTCGTTTTCGGTACCACGGCCTTGTGAGGCCCAGAGGCATCTCATTAGAGCTATAGCATGGGTCTGCCACGAAGCCTTCGTTCATAGACGTCTATAGGCTGATAATGATGGGCCTGCCACGACAAAATGATTTTATGGGTTTAAAATCTATCTTATTATGCCATCATAACCCTTCAAAATAGACCCAGTAGTTAAAGTGGTGCAGTGAATATAATTTTTAAAACATAAAGAGACAGTTAAAACTTCTTCACTTGTTTCTGTAGTAGGTTAAAAATGATTACTGTTTGTGTATTATCTCATAACCTACTAAGGTTGCAATTTATATTTATAATACACACATAAAATAATACGAACAGGTATATCTCTGAGGACCCGTCGTCCATGAAGCTGATGGTACGGTACTAACCAAGAACGATAATAGAATATTTTAGTGCCCTTTTTGTGCCAAATACTCAGTATATATTATATTGTAACCGAGACCATAATGTATGATCGTCTCTGATTGTATAAATAAATAAATTTATTGTTAGTAAATATATATATATATATATCCGTTAAACAGAAAATGAACTTAAATATGCGTACTTACTTACATAAATGTTTGTAACACTATTAATTCTGATTGACCAATAAGTAATTTATTTATTTATTTATATCTTTATAATTTTAGTTATTACTGATCAGTTTTGACATCAAACGTAATTAATGCCGAATCATTTCATTCCAACAATCAAATACTTGAAGACTGTTAAACGTGTATTTCAATCAAAGAAAACTACTCCATAATGTTTGTGTCAGACTCAGAAAGTATTAAAATGGTTGGATTTGTGAATATTCATTGACTATATAAAACTAACTATTCAAACATAAATTTGAATATCTACCTGATTTGTTTATTTATAACTTTATGCACTTTTGTACATCGGTGGACTTCATGCCCAAGGCATTCTCTCAATATCAACCTTTAGGTAGTGTAGAAATCGTGAGTGGTAGGCGCATATAGATTATAACACTAATCAGCAAGTTATACACTACACTACACAACACACGTAATTTTATACACAAGCAAATACACATATTTACACACATACTTACACACACATATACATACATATATATGTATATCAATACACATACATACACTATACTACACTATTTGTCTATCATGTAACCTTAACTGGACGTAGTTACACAAAAAGGAACCAATCCACAAAAATACCAAAATTGAGTTAAGTATGCCAAAAAGTCCGTGAAGGTCGATACTTTCATGCAGTAAAAAGATTCCAGTGAAATACGAAACAATGTCATTGTTATCAACACAAGGTACCAGTCCACATGTATGGCGGGCATTTGTTTTGAAGCAACTAAAACAATCCAATCTTCTTGGATCATTAGTAAGAAAAAGTGTTTATTGGTACTTATTTAAAATATATAATCTTAAAAGAGATACAATTCACGTGGATCATTTCCGATAATTATAATTATTTAAAAAATCTATACATAGTAACACACACTAACGATCCAAAACACTTGGAACCTTTCTGATGAACATTATCAATAACTCATAAAATAGTGTTGAAAAACATAAAAAGAATCCAAAGCACAAGAGTTACTTCTGAAATATTTATTTGCATTGTTATTACATTTAATTAAAATATCTAAAGGAAAATAAAACAAACATTTAACACAACCGATTACAATATTCTATTGTCGTTGCCATTACGCCCTATGTCTCCTAGTACATTGGAGCTTCTACAAACTTTGCCTGACAAAGTCCATCAGAAATAAATATAGTTGACAATTTTTCCGAAAACAACGAACACAATTCTGAAGTTACAGAAACTGATTGTTTTATTACACCAATAAGTGACTTCAATCGTGATACGGACTCAGATTTTATACCAAATAGTGACGAAAATGCGAGTGATGAAGAAGACTTAGGTTCATCGAGACAACTGAGTGTTGTTGCTTTAGTGCATAGTTCAAAGAAACAAAGAATTGTTAATGACATATCACGCACACTGACGACCATTAATACCAATGTTGAAGTTATAGATAACAGTGATATGATAGAATGTGAATCGAATAATGAAACTCGAAATGATGCTACTACACAACAAGAAATAGAGAATTTATCTTCAGAAGGTCTACCAAAAAAGGTAGAAAATAAATATATCCAAATCACACTGTTGCTCAAACTAAACAACGGAGATATTTAAACTTACCATATTATTCAAAGAAAAAATATATTCCGCCAAAAAAATTTCAAAATTTTACCTGTAATATCAAACAATGTAACCAGTTAATTACAAGAGAAAAAAGAGAAGAAGAATTCCAAAAATTTGGGCTCTTATGAAGCCCAATTATTATATATAGTAAATAATGTAGAAGAAAGACCCAAAACAAGATCTTATACAGTCACTAAAGAAAATAAAACAAATAAGAAAAAACCCAGAGAATACTCAAGAAAATACACTATATGTGGGGTTGAAGTTTGTAAACCCATGTTTTTGAATAATTTTCAAATAACAACTAAAAAGATTGATGTTTCTCTACGAAAAAATCGATATGAGTACATGATTAAAGACAGAAGAGGACTTTCACAAGGTGATTGGAATAAAACTCAGATGGTAGATATTGAGTTCGTTAAGGATATCATAAGCTCATTACCTAAATATCAATCGCATTATAGAAGAGAACAAAGTAATGGTGTTATGTATTTCAAATTAGGAATGACGATACAAAAAATATATGAGTTATACTTGGAAAAATTTGGGCTACGGTAAAACGCATATTTTATAAATATTTTAATTTACGCTGCAAGACACTAAAAAAGGACACTTGCACAAGGTGTGATACTTTCACTAATAAAAATAAATTGTTTGTTAGATGAAGAGAAAGAAAAGTTACAACATGAAAAAGACATTCAACTAAAAAAAGCAGAAGATTTGAAAAAATATATGAACGAAGATATAGCACAGGCAAAAACTGACGAAGAATTTGAATGCTTAACATTCGACTTAGATAAAACACTTCCATTCCCACGTATACCAACCAGCATTATTTTTTATAAAAGGCAATTGTGGTTGTATAACTGTGGCATCCACGCCGGCTCTAACAATACTGGTCATTGATACATATGGATCGAAGGAGAAGCTGGTCGAGGGGCCCAAGAAGTCGGGTCATGTTTGATCAATTTCATAAAGTACAAACTTGACCCAAAAGTAAAACACTTAGTGTTATGGAGTGATTGCTGTGGCGGACAAAACCGCAATATAAAAATCGTAATGATGTTGAAGGTAATGTTAAACTCGCACCATACTCTGAGGACAATAGATTTCAAATACCTTGAATCAGGTCATACTTTCCTGCCCAATGATACTGATTTTTCCAAAATTGAAAGCCAATTAAAATTTCATCAACGAATTTACACTGCTGACGAGTATATGCAAGTCATTAGGAGTTCCAAAAGAAAGACTCCGCTCGAAGTTAAAAAAATGGTTAAAGAGGACTTCCTGAGCTCAAAAAATATTGAAAAAAATATAGTAAACAGAAAAACTTTTGCAAACAAGCAGAAAACTAATTGGCTACAAACAAAAGTGATTTCATTAAAGAAAGAAGAGAAATATATTATTTTTATGAAGAGTGAATAAATAATGACCTTAATATACCTTAAATAGTGAACTTAATATACAGAAGAAAGTGAAAGGCAAATCTTTAGAATTTTCTGAAAACTACTTTATCATGTTGTGGCCTACAGGCAAAAAAATCGCTCAACCTAAACTGGATGATCTGAAGTCAATGTTCCACTTAATTCCGAAAGACTGTTTAGACTTTTACAAGTCTCTTCAAGGGGATAAAAATATAGAGGATGATCTTGAAGGATTCAGCGGTCAGCTTGATTTTCAGATTGAAAATGAAAGTCAGGCAGAATGAGCATTATAATGACTATGCAGAGTTTTGTTTTGATTACAGTTTAATTATGTTATCAACAGTATTGATTTCATTTTTTATCCATTGTTTTTTTTTAACTTGATAGGTATGTTATAAGAATAATACAGTTTTAGGTATGTATTTATTAGTTATTTTATTTATTTTTAAAGATTTCGTTAGCAGTTGATGCAGTGGAGCTTTACTGCGAAACTATCATTTTATGCTGGTCTTATTGAGAATACTATATATCAAAAAGGATCCAAGCCCCTATTTTCTTGAATATTATTGAAAATATGAAATCAAACTTAGTGAATTTGATTTATAGTTAAAATATAACAAGATTTCCTACTAATTTTAATAAAACCCACAAATTTATGGTACCGCATCATAGAAGAATTACGACCTAAACTTTAAAGTTAAATATCTCAAAACTAGCGTCATGTGGATTGGATCCCTATCGTGTAACTACGTCCAACTGAGCTCAGCCTATATAGCTAACACATCCCGAGGATTATCGTTGTCAGCCGGCAGTTTCTGGTAGTTTACTGATAACACCACAAATGAAACATGACAGTAATCTAAATACCAAGTGTCTGAATATAACATGTTATTAGGAAAAGGTATTTTATGAAAATAACTTTTACTTGATTTATATTCTCCATCCAAATATCGACTTACTCAATTAAGATTTTTTTTAGTATAAGCAAAAAAACCGTGGGCCACCTTATGGTAAGTGACTACCGCTCCTCATAAAGACCTGTAACTCTAAAGACATAAGTGCGTTGACGTTTTTGGATTGTCCATCCCTTCCAGAATAAGGGGAGGGTGGTGTGCCTATTAAGCAGGTTTATTCCGTTAGTTAAGAATGATTACATCATTATGGAACCCAAAAGTTTCAAAGTGACTAAATAAAGTAACTAAATAAAGTGACTAACTAAAAAAAAAAGACTTTACGGACAGCGTTGTTGTTTAAGCGGACACCTCGCCGCTGCTGTAGGTCCGATCCCCACATGGAACGATACTTTGTGTGATCTACAAATTGTGGTTCTGAGTCTGGGTGTTCTTTGTGTCCTTTTCATGTATGTTTGTAAAGTACCCCGCGACAAAGGATGCATTCCTAATGTTGTCTTTTAAAAACAAAAGAAAAACAAATGTTGTTCATTTCAAAATTAGGATTAGAAAACACAGATACAGACACAGACTTATACTATCTGATTTTTGTATAAACAAACTAATCAACGACCACAATTTTAACGAACACAACGTAAGTTAATCAAGCCAGGATCCCGTTTATCTTTCTCAAGGGCCATCAAAGATTCATGATCATGGCCATATAACAACGACCCATTTCTGTTCCCTGCAAAGTCCGGACGAACTAAACTACAATAAAATCGTAATTAATTTCTACTTGCACTCATTCATCTTAATTTACCTGCATTAAATCAGTGAACGTATTAAAGGAAAAGTACATATTTTGAAGTATTCATTTCAATGGCTCAATAAAATGTAGATTATAGCTGTTTAAAAATATAAACTGGACAGCAAATAAACCGAGCCACCCGCTACCTAGGCACTCTAATTCGATTTTCTCAAAAACTAAAAAACCTACAATTAACAAAGTTGTACCTACAGAAAGTGCGTTTCATGGTGATTAAAATGAAAGGAAACTCATTGGGTTTAATCAATATTTCAGTGTTTATTAAGGATTTTACAAAGAAGAGTCGTTTTCCAGTCGTGACAATCGTTAGTAATGATAAAGTGAAAAAAAAAATTAAAGCCAAAAACAAAGATAAAATCAAAAAAAGTTTTTGATCAATATTCCGTATTCCCTCCCCTTGCTCGGATAACTGCCAGCATCCTTGTATTCATCGACCTTACGAGCCTGACGATAAAATCTTGAGGAATTGTATTCCACTCCTCTTCAATTGCGATTCGCAGCTCTGGAAGCCTTGTTGGAGCAGGTACCCGGGCTCGAACCCGACGTTTCAGCTCATCCCATAAGTGTTCTATCGGATTCAAGTCCGGGCTTCGAGCTGGCCAGTCCATCGTACGATACTGGGTCACCACATGAGCAACATGAGGCCGTGCATTATCATGCATCAATTGCATATCCTGTCCGATATATCCTGCGTAAGGTACCACATGGTCTGCGAGGATTTCAGTAATGTAGCGATGAGAAGTCAGTCCACGTGTACGGCCCGTCGGTTCGATGAAAACTAACGCTGTATGTGCTGTTAACGAGATGCCGCCCCAGACCATTACAGATCCTCCTCCATAAGCAACAGTTTCCTCGATGCCACACTGAGAATAACGTTCTCCAGGGCGACGATATACTCTCTGACGTCGATCACTTCCATGTAGACTCACCCTGGTCTCATCAGTGAAGAGTACATTACTCGACTGCTCTAATGTCCAATCCCTATGCTCTCGAGCAAATTCAAACCGTGCTCGACGGTGTGCTACCGTTAATGCTGGGCCTGTTGCAGCTCTTTTTGGGGTCAGGTTCCGTTCAGCAAGTCTCCTTCTGACGGTATCTGAACTTATGACCACTTGGCGTTCGTCACGCAGACTTTGTTGGACTTGAACTGTGTTGAGGTGGCGATTTCGCAGAACAGTAAGGTGGATATAACGATCATCTGCTGCTGATGTAGCCCTAGGTCTGCCCGTACCTGGACGGCGATCGAATGCTCCAGTCTCTAGGTATCGTCTGTAAACTCGTTGCACTGAAGATCTGCTGATTCGAAGCCTTCGAGCGACTTCACGTTGCGCAATGCCTGCTTGAAGTAATGCTACAGCTTGAGCTGCTTCCTGAGGTGTTGTATCCATTATTAATCGAAAAAAGTAGCAAAAACACACGCGTCTGAGCAAACGATGGACAAAAACTAAAGAAATGATAAGAAATATCCGACTACCCTCATTGTAGAGAAAAAGAACGCTAATTTCAAACTCTGGTGAAAACAGAGCAAATCGTTAGCATTGTGTTTGTTGCTTGATTACAATGTGAGTTGACGGTACTTTCGAATTAATTTTTAGTCATTTTAATCACTGTAAGTTGTAAGTTTTATACTTTTTGAGAAAATCGAATCAGAGTTCCTAGGTAGCGGGTGGCTCGGTTTATTTGCTGACCAGTATAGTATTAAGCTGTTTTTAGGTAACGACGGTTTTACACTAAGTTATAGTGCACTTTCTTCTTTTTGTTACGAGTGTTGGAATCTACCCAGAAACTGAATTTTTTTATTTATTTCAACATACTTAAGCCATGCAAATTACCTGAAATTACATGAAGGAATGAAAATTCTTATTGTTTTATTTTTAAGATACTTTACCTCAGTAAAATCCTGTACTGTTCAGGATCTATATATTTTTTTCCTATTTCAGACGCTAGACGAATGGTCGTTTGACGTGTTCACGTTGCACGAAGCTTCATGCGGTGCACCTGTCAAATACCTAGGATATGAGCTGCTGAACAGATATGGCATGATACATAAGTTTAAGGTAAGAATGAACTATTACTAACTTCCGAAAGAATCAACCGTGTCTGAACTAATACGACGATATTACGAAACCGCAATCGAAACGGACAGCTTTTTTATTAGTGTATTTCTACTTCTTAATTTTATATGTACACGCGGCTTTCTCTTGTTGTTTAGCGATATCCTCTATTCACTCATAAGGTTTGTTGGAAGAGAACTCAATTATGAGTTGAACTCATCTTGGACATACCATTCTCTTTATGAATACCATAATATTTATGTTATAAATCTTTTTTGTGTGCAAAAAAGCAAATTTAATAGGTACGAGTATGTCAGTTAATTATTTCAATTTGAATGCAGTAGTTGTCTACTCCGGTCTGACACTACTGTTTAATCTTGTTGATGTCAAGAACTAAATTAGTTACTTAAGGCTTCGTGTGTGGGTTTCTTGTGTTCGAATAAAATATACATTATTGAGTTCTTGGAAAATCTTATATATAAAATTCTCGTGTCACAATGTTCGTTCCCGTACTCGCCTCCGAAACGGCTTGACCGATTCTCATAAAATTTTGTGTGCACATCGGGTAGGTCTGAGAATCGGCCAAAATCTATTTTTCATACCCCTAAATGGTAAGGGTGACCCATCCCTAATTTTTTTTGTTTTGTAATACTACGTTTGCCGGGTCAGCTAGTATATTTTTTAAACCATCTTACGAAAGATGAACAACGAATGATTAAAACATTACGAATGTATTTCGTTACTCTTTTCTTAGTTACGCTTTTGAATTACTACGGCACAAAAATAAATTATAATGCATACTTCCACATTTATATTATAAACTAGCTTTTGCCCGCGGTTCCACCCGCGTGTATGTCGGTTATCCCGGTTAAACCTTGTCTTTAGCACTCAGGGATAATAAACCTTTCTAACAGTGAAAGAATTTTCATAATCAGATCAACCGTACCGGAGTTTACCCATACAAATTCACAAACTTTACGTCTTTATAATATTAGTATACCTAGATGTGAAAGTGAGTTTGTTTGTTACGCTTTCACGCCTAAACCACTAAACCGATTTTAAAAATTCTTCACCGATGGAAAGCTACGTTATCAGTGAGAGAGTAGGATTGGGCTACTTTTTAACTCAATAACCCAAATTTGTTGTAAACACGTGTAATCATACACATTAATCATTATCTATGAACACATTCTATAACTCAGCTCGCAAATCCATCAATTCGCAATTTGCAACGTAATCAATCAATTTATAGGACACCTGATTATGCTTTATACTCGTATATGTTATTATTACCTTCTTTAACATTACGCTGATGTAATGGTTCTGTAAAGTGTATTTATATCCACGCTTTGTCGCCTACTTTTAAAGTATTTAACTACAGTGGTTAGGAGTTATAGACAGGGATACAGGATTAAATCAATTTACTCCGTCCGTACTGTCCGTATGGTGACGGATTAAGAATACGTAGTGTCACCACCTCTATTAATTCCATGGGAGTGAAAAGAGCCGACTAAGGGAGCAAACTATGCATTACAACAGCACTGCAAAGAGAAGGAAAACTTAAAACAAACCCTATATCAACCCGTCTGGCCAGTGTGCTATAGTAGGCCAAAATCTCCTTTCTAAGGAGAGGTCGATGTCCAGTAGTGTTCTATTAAATGCTGTTGATGATGATGATTAATGTACTCCATCATTCATACTAAATTTTAAATAGCGACAACACTCATTCAAAACAAATTTAGTGTTGTCCTAATGGAAACTAAATTTAGTTCTAAGTAACAACAGAAACAGAACAGCGTAGTTTTAATGTCTTACAATTGAGAGAAGAGAACTTTGGGGCAAATTTAATTTACCGAAGTAATCAATAGAATCGGCATCACGTTAGCTGAAAATATTGAAATCTTTTAATAATGTATACTACCCACATTTAATTATTTATGTTATACATAAGAATTACTAATGGGACTGAGGACAAAATCGAATCTAAATTTAAATTTAGTCATAATTTTAAGTGTAATACATAGTTTTATCAAATAATTATATAATCTATATTTGTCCTTAAGCGCGTTTTTAAGTACAACTTTAGGTACAAACTCTTACACAGTTACGTTATCAACAACTTGTCAAAAAGAAAATCAATTAATGGACAACGTATGATAATATTTTTATGAGTAATATCTTCATAGATAAATAGAGATGGTAACACAAGAAATAACTATTTTTACGATTAATTTCTGCTGTATGCTGGATTATTCACTACTTTTATAAAAAAATGTTTTCTTTGAAAATGTATTAAAATAAAATTTAAAAACATCAAAGGCTAAATTGTTTAGTGACCTTTTGTTTAAATCTGATGATTACAGATAATAACGGACTTCGTCAAAGCCCTTCCAGTTAGAACTAAATAAGGATGTGAGACTAACAAGAATAATCCTATTGCCTTTACAAGTCCCTTTTTTTTTACGTGTGGAAACCCCCTCGGGCCGTCACTCCACCGGGGTTTACGGCGGGGTGGTGTGTCGAAATCGGACCGACTAAAACCACACGGTATGCCACTCTGCGCCTGTAATAGGAGGGATCCGGGAACAGCTGTTATTAAGACATCCGGACCCCTCCTAGCGCCGGCCCGCTCCTGTTGCGGGCTCCGTCTCAAAAATTTTCCTCTCTTTAGGCGACGTCCGGCACACGCGGACGCCGCCCCCTCGCGGCTGGCCAAACTAAACCTACAACCTTTCCTTTGAGTGTAACATGAGAGTTTATACTTTAATGGACATATATCCATGTATGATTTTAATATAGAGAATGGTTAGGTATTGTATAAGTTAAACAACTGTTTTATTTTTTTTGCATTTCTTTAAATAATAAAAACATCTAAGTAACGTTCTGATTTAACAATATGTTATAACTAAGTAACTAATTCTGATAAAAAAAAATGTATAAACCGCATACAGCACGAAGTCACGTCCAATTATGGTTTTAGGATCTTTTCATACATGAAGGATATTCACGGGATAGCAAGTAAAGTGCATTATGCCTATCGCTTTAAGTCTATTTAGTCCATGTTTAGTCCTTGATGTTTGGAGAGTGAAATAAGCAAATATTGTTTTTAATGTCGTCCTACCATTTCATTGTTTGAGTTTATCTAGAATTGCAGATACGTATAAGCGGGAGCATAAGGTACTTTCCATAGGATTCTTTCGCAAAAAAACTCTTAATTCTTAGGGTATTCTCTAAACTACAAACTAAGACAGCGAGAGCTGCACATAACTTACGTTGTTAAGTATGGCACTCAGGCTACAATTTTTTAATCAGATAGTTAACCCAGTCGTGATTGCGCTTAGGTGAAATATCTACACAGGACTAATTAAAATCCAACCGACCATTGGACCATAGGGTTAGACGCATTGTAGCTACTTCAATTGAAAACATATATCTCACCCTTTCACCTGCAATAACTCTGAATTGCTTATACAGATCAGTCTATCTTCTTGTTACCAGATCAAACTTTAAAGTTTATAATTAAAATTATTAATTGTTCCAACTTATACCCAACATCCAAGTGACTTAGAACACCCGGCTAAGATACTTTAAGTTATTTAATATTTGTACCCAAATTTAAATATTGTGCAATATTTTTTTTTTAAATTTTAAAGATAGAACATCGATCTTTTATTACGTCATTCATTTGATACGGATACACCTAAATATTAAATTGCATTTATACTAAATTATATTAATTAATATTGATACGGATACACCTAAATTTTAAATTGTATTTATACTAAATTATATTAATTTAACAGAATAATATTTTGTTAGTCCTAAAGAGACAATTCCAATCTTGTAAAGCAATCGACAGCATCCAATTTCATTAAAATTGTTTCAAGTCAACGTTTCATTCTAAAAGACATTAATCTAATTTGTCGGTTTGTTACTTCCGCGAAAAGTTTGCCGACATTTCTTTTATTACTTACTTTTTAGTGAATTGAATTGAAGGTTTCATGATATTTTATCTATACAAACACATAAAATTGAAGTGTCTGTTTGTAATATAAAAAAAAATAGTTTCATGCTCACATGGTTATTTGCACGATACCTATGCCTAAAAACCAGTTAATTTTTTTTTGTCTATCTGCCCATCTGTTTGTTCCGGGTAATCTTCTAAACGGCAGGACCGATTTTCATAATATTTTATTACTAGGTACCTATCTATATAAGGAGTAACTTAGGCTATTTTCCCTCTTAGAAAAACCCGGGAATCGAACCAACTAAGGCAGTTCTTTTCAAGTTCCACGAACGAAGTCGCGGGTACCAGCCAGTTGTATATAAATCAGCTATAAATCTATGTGTTTTAGTGAAGTTACAGTTACATGTATAAGTAAAATTATCCTTTAAAAACATGTTTGTATCAAATATCTTTTTAAAACATAGAAAGTACCATAGGTTTAAAAGAGCAGAGGCCCAAGTGTGAATTTATTTCACTTCTACTCGATCTTCATGGTGACTGCGTTCGGCGATGTGATTTTTCCGCACTGAAATCTCCGCCAATCGCAACGCCAAACGCCATCGCCGTCGACAGCTAGTTGATGTGAAATAAACGCACGTTTGGGCCTCAGACAGGTCACATGATTTTAAATGACTAGTACTGCCAATGAACACCTACAACTTTAGACGTAATTGTGTTGCCGTCCTTTAAATGTAACTAAGAGGGAAGTTTTCAAGGGATTAGGCCTCTAGTTACCTCACTCACTCGATGAAAAGCAACAAAACGATTACATAACACCGGTTTTCTGTAAAGCCGTATTATCACAAAAGTCGAGCCGTCCTGTACGTGCCGAAGTATGCCTCTCCCACTGTATTATATGAAAAATGCATCATCTGATCATCATCGCTGTCACTAAAGAACTATTGATGACTGACTGATGTCAATCTACCGCCAAAGTATGCCTCTCCCACTGTAGTATATAAAAATGCGTCATCTGGTCATCATCACTGTCACTAAGGAACTATTGATGACTGACTAATTTCAATCTACCGCCGAAGTATGCCTCTCCCACTGTATTATATGAAAAATGCATCATCTGATCATCATCGCTATCACTAATTAACCATTGATGACTGACTGATGTCAATCTACCGCCAAAGTATGCCTCTCCCACTGTAGTATATGAAAATGCGTCATCTGATCATCATCGCTGTCACTAAGGAACTATTGATGACTGACTGATTTCAATCTACCCCCGAAGTATGCCTCTACCACTATATTAGATGAAAAACGCATCATCTGATCATCATCGCTGTCACTAAAGAACTATTGACGACTGACTGATTTCAATCTAGCGCCAAAGTATGCCTCTCCCACTGTAGTATATGAAAATGCGTCATCTGATCATCATCGCTGTCACTAAGGAACTATTGATGACTGACTGATTTCAATCTAACCCCGAAGTATGCCTCTCCCACTGTATTATATGAAAAATGCATCATCTGATCATCATCGCTGTCACTAAGGAACTATTGATGGCTGACTGAATTCAATCTACCCCCGAAGTATGCCTCTCCCACTGTATTATATGAAAAATGCATCATCTGATCATTATCGCTGTCACTAAGGAACTATTGATGGCTGACTGAATTCAATCTACCCCCGAAGTATGCCTCTCCCACTGTATTATATGAAAAATGCATCATCTGATCATCATCGCTGTCACTAAGGAACTATTGATGGCTGACTGAATTCAATCTACCCCCGAAGTATGCCTCTCCCACTGTATTATATGAAAAATGCATCATCTGATCATCATCACTGTCACTAAGGAACTATTGATGACTGACTGATTTCAATCTACCGCCGAAGTATGCCTCTCCCACTGTATTATATGAAAAATGCATCATCTGATCATCATCACTGTCACTAAGGAACTATTGATGACTGACTGATTTCAATCTACCGCCGAAGTATGCCTCTCCCACTGTATTATATGAAAAATGCATCATCTGATCATCATCGCTGTCACTAAGGAACCATTGATGGCTGTCTGATTTCAATCTACCCCCGAAGTGTGCCTCTCCCACTGTATTATATGAAAAATGCATCATCTGATCATCATCACTGTCACTAAGGAACTATTGATGACTGACTGATTTCAATCTACCGCCGAAGTATGCCTCTCCCACTGTATTATATGAAAAATGCAGTATCTGATCATCATCGCTGTCACTAATTAACCATTGATGACTGACTGAAATCAATCTACCCCCGAAGTATGCCTCTCCCACTGTATTATATGAAACATGCATCATCTGATCATCATCACTGTCACTAAGAAACTATTGATGACTGACTGATTTCAATCTACCCCCCAAAGTATCTCTCTCCCACTGTATTATATGAAAAATGCATTATCTTATTATCCAGTAATGATGATAAGATGAGGGACAATGGTTTCAATCTATTAAGTAATTACTACGTTATATTACAAAAACAATTACAACCCGCATTGAAACAAAACTTAGTATTAATAAAAAAATACTCAAATGGAACGCCCCATAAAGTTTTATTTCCTTTTGTATAACGAACTATTGAAGTTGCTGAAAACGTAGACACTTATTTCCTTTTCTTTTGCCAAAACCCACGATTGAATTCGAATAGGTAATATGGCACACTTGAAACTTGTTCAGAAACTTTCGATGTTAATGTACTTGTTGCTTGGAAATATATGTAGAAGATATTATATTGAAATACCTCAGAAAGGTATTTCCAATTTCTGATTACTTGATAAACGACTTATGTAATCGTAGAGAACGGGAATTGGATGCGATGATGAAACACAAATGTTAGTTGGTGTAATACTCGTCTATCATAAAATAGAGTACATCTCGACCTATTAGAAATCTATCAATCTTATATTTATTAGTTGGTGATTGCTTTTAAGATTTTTTCTATTCTTTGGGAAGGAGTACACTCCTTTCTTAGTGACCTTTTTCTTTGGTTAGTTACCTTGACTGCTAGGCTAGAGGTCGTGGGTTCGATTTCCAACCAGGACATATAATTTTGTGTTGAGCACGGACATTTGTTCTGTGTCTGGGTGTACTTTATCTATAATATTTTTGTATTTAGAGATATATAAGTATGTTTATCAGCAGTCTGGTTACCATTATACAGGCTCTGCCTACGTATAAAAGCGTAACAAACAAACTCACTAGCATTTTGATATAGTGAGGTGGTAGAATAAAGTATCTAAAATTCGAGTAACTACAAAAACATCATTGTATAATGCCTTTAAAATATTCGTTGTTACTTCCAAGCGACAATAAAGGCACAAAAAATTCAAAAAACCTGCTCTTAAAAACCTTACAAGAGCTCGATGAAAAAGTTCAGTGGACAGCATTTTAATGATGAAATTCAGTTCAAAGGACCGTAGAATTAAATTTTGTCACGCGCTTTAGACGAAATTTTCATGTTCCGAACTTATTGCATCATCATTTTTATTTAAATACATGAACATCATTTAATAAATTTCCAAAAAATACTTTAATTTATAATTTCGGGTAAATGATTTATACTAAACAATAAGCAACCAATTAATTTACATTGATTATTTTTATTGTAAAGTATTGTAATTAGGTTAGATAAGACGGGACTTTTTTAATTTTTTTTGATGAATTAAATCACTAAGAAAGGCAACAAATATTGTTGGAGAGAGAATGGTGTTGCATTTTAACTGTGTTACTGCGATAAAAGTTTATTTTTGAGGGTATCAAAATGATAGGCTGTTATCGCGGCGGTAAGACACGTTATGAAGGATTAGCTTGAGAGGCATCACGGAACACACTTATAAATCACATCACCGGGAAAGGATGCTTCGGAAATCACCTGTGTCTGATCCGTGGGGAGCCAACGCCTGAGTGCCACCACTGCGGTGTCCGGACCGTGGACACGGCACTCCACACGCTGGCAGAATGCCCGGCGTGGGTGGAGCAGAGGCGTTGCCTCGTGGATGCCATCGGAGTGCGATTTTATTCGCTCGGTAACATGATTGCCGCCATGTTACTATGGGACTCCGCCGCCTCTTTCTGCGAGCAAGTTATGCTTGGATAGGAGATGGCGGAACGGGACCGGGAGAGTTATAGAACTCTCCTGGCCCGCCAGGTACGGCGGACGACTCAGGCGCCGGAGGTCGCAGAACGACCTTCGTCCTCCATAAGCGCAGGCCTGGGGGTGGTAGGTGAGGCCATCCATCACCCTAGCAGAAGCAGGATGGGGTGGTGGCGAGATACGCTGCGGAGCGCGCGCGGGGTGCTTAAGCACAAAGGGGACATATGGGTTCCCACACAGGAGGGGGTCATTTACACGCCGTAGATGGCCCGATGGCCCGTCGGAGTATCAGGGATTGCCTTCCTATGGAACACCTGGTTCCCCCGCAACTCGTACCCGAGACGACGTGCGGTTTTTGGTCGTTTCGAGTCCGACGTAACTACCGGTGGGTGGTATCCGAGGGAATTTCCGCACAGAAAAAAAAAGGTACCCAAAATGAACTATTACTTGCGTGGCATTAAAAATTTGCATCTCTAATCACATTTCCTGCAAGTGTTATACCTATGACTTTTAGGTGCGTACTGCAAACTAAAAACCTGGCCATAAGTAAGAAGTACCTGTGATTTTAATAAATTATTTCTAAAGAAATTTAAACTTATAACCCAAAATATATAATTTAAAATAATAATATCTTGCAAATGTATGAGTGAATAAAAGAGTTATTTAAAATTTACACACATGTAAACTTGACCAGCGCTTTCGTTTGCCACGTAAGAAGACGAATTTTCATCTCTATAATAAATTAATACTGCTGCTTTGTCAACAATAACTCAATTACAATGTTTTACTCCTCCAGGTGCCGCCAACTATTTTGGAGAACTTCCTCGGCAGGATAGAAGACGGTTACTGCAAGTTTAACAATCCGTACCACAACAATTTGCACGCAGCCGACGTTGCACAGACTGTGCATTACATGTTGTGTCAAACTGGACTCATGGTAAGCAAACCTTCGACATTTAAACAGTAAATATATTTTAGTTAAACTATCTGTTTTTAATATTGGACATTCTTGAATTACCTGGATTAACCGGAAATTGATCCAACGCTGCGTCCAGTGTTTCTAATACCATGACATAAATTATATTCCTTTTTCTTTTTTAGGGTTCCGTACCTCAAAAGGTAAAAAAGGAACCCTTATAAGATCACTGTCTTGTCCGTCTGTCCGTCTATCCGTGTGTCACCATCGATTTTCTCAGGAACGAGTAGACCTAGCAAGTTGAAATTTATACCAGATACTGAGGTCTATGGTCCCTATTAGGTGTATAAAAATCAAGATCTTGAATCAACACGATAAAAAGCCATATCTTTTTATCGTGTTGATTCAAGATCTTGATTTTTGCGAAAACTTGTAAGTACCAAAATTTACCTTAATTTTCAACTTTTTTTATTTTGCAGAATTTTCTCTTCACTTGTGCTATAAGACCTTGCTTTCAACCAAAATTGACAATTCTAGGTCAACCGGAAGTACCCTATAGGTTTTGGGTCGAAAACCTGACCTAGAATCACGAAATTTGGCAAAAAGAAACGTCTTACAGCACAAATAAAGGAATAATTCCAGAAAATAAGAAAAAGGTGAAAATTAATATAAATTTTGGTATTTACAAATTTTCGCGAAAATCTATGTAAAATCTGGGTAGGTACGGAACCCTCGGCGCACGAATTCAACTCGTACCTGACCGGTTTTTTTTTAATACTGATAGATGATAAATTTAATTCGCAACAACATTCGTTTATAAAGTACAAATGATTTAAATGAGTAAACAGTAGATCAGCTGGACAATTAGACACAATCTAATTCATTAAATTTACACTTAAATAAGAGCATGTACCTTGACCTTTAAACATGTTTAATTATTATAAGGTAAACAGCGTGACTCATAAAGTTATAAAATTGTCCCAGAAACTTCCATCCCAGAATATTTATAATTTGTATCAAATTACGTAAACATACTTATTTTTTGTAAATACGTAACATATTTTACTTAACTTGTATCAACTTACATATGATGTGTATGTATCTACAAAAAAAAGTAAATATGTATTTATATCAGTTGTCTAGTACCCACAGTACAAGCTCTACGTAGTTTGGGACTGATGGCGTTGTGTGAATGGGGTAGAATTTTATTATAAACGTTCATTTTTACCCAATGTTTACTTTCTTGTATTTTAATGGGACACCTAACTGTACTTATTCCTTTACTCATAAAATGAGGACAACTGCTAAACTACAGTCACGTACTTAGTGTAGTGAACCTTAGCGTGAAAACTAATTTAACGACGTTACATTTTAGATGCGGTTTAAAATTCTGATAGTTAAAAATTTACTTTAGATTGGAGGATACGTCACGATAACTAAAATCATTTTGGAAGATATGTACATACAAACTGAAATTTTCCGAATATGAGTTGGAACGCGTGAAGAGATTTTCCTACATCGATTATATGTATTTAATTCTTTTTTTTAAGTACCAAGAATTTATCTCTCTCATACAATTCATTATTTTTTTCACCACTAAAAAGAGATTTGGCTTTTGCCATAGTATTCTATAAATTATAAATAAAGACCTATTTTTTATTTAAACAGTTGAATTCTTAATCTTAATAATAATAACTTCAAAACTACTTTTCATTTGATAAGTCAAACGGTGTTGTTTGCATTTGTTGTTAATATTTCTAATTTAGTTCCCAAATAGACCTCCTTTATTCCCTTTTTTTACATTTGATTTGATTGATATCACCCACCAGTGGGGTGGTTATGTCGGACTCGACCCGACCAAAAACTGCACGCCATTCCGGGTACCAGTAGCCGGGGAACCAGGTATACCCTAGAAACCAAAGCCCTGGTACCCTGACGTCCTCTTGCCATCTACGGTGTTGTCTCCGATGTTCCATTCCTGCCCCGAAGGGCGTACGCGCTTCGAAGGGCGTACGCGCTTCGTCCACCCACTCCGGCCTGCTTTTGCTAGGATGACAGATGACTTTTCCAGTCACCCTCAGACCTGTCCCCTAATGTGTATGTCTGGTTTACGATACACATCATTTTCATATTAGTCCTAATTATTATTACTTCCTAACTAATATTGCAAATGCAAAAGTGTATTTGTTAGCATGTTTCTTCGTTCACCATAAGTAATTCGACCAACGACCATCATGAATTTTTTTATTCATGTTACCAGAGAAACAGACAAGGTCGTAGTGTACCTTTCATACAGCAAAACTGTCGTCTCTGATATCCTATTTTTTATGATATAGGGGCAAAAGATCAGACGGGTCACCAGATAGTAAGCGACTACCACCACACATGAACCTTAACATTACAAAGAATCATCAGAATATTCTCTCAATTCCAAAGCTAGACCTTGTAATTAATAATTGAGTAATTTGAATTGAATTTTTCTAACAGAATTGGCTGTCTGACTTGGAGATCTTTGCGACGCTGGTAGCAGCAGTGGTGCACGACTTCGAACACACCGGTACTACGAATAACTTTCACGTCATGTCCGGTTCTGATACGGCGTTGCTGTATAACGATCGTGCTGTGCTCGAGAATCATCACATAAGTTCTGCTTTTAGGTAAGTACCATATAACGCTATGGCATTGCTAAATAAATAAATAAAGTATATTTTTTTAGTTTTTCTATTTATCTTACACAAAGAATAATTCGGTTTATCCTTGGTTTATCAGCACCAAGGTTTATTCTTGTAATATCTTTAGTCTGTCTATATTATATATACAAATCAAAAACATATATAGATAACAAATAGATAACTAAAACAATATACCAACAAAGTACCTACCTAATACATTATACTTTCGTATCATATCGTTTCAAAATAACCCTCACTCAAACGGAGCGGAGTTAGTATGAATAATCCACAATATTATCCCCTTGAAGTCGCTAGGTCAATATTGTGCCAATATTAAAACATGAAGCTAATACAACCTTCCGAAGGCTTGTATTGTGAAAGCGTCTCATATACGATTTACTTTTGATCAAATAGCTTTTTGGATATTGTGGGAGACGTTTATTTGAAGGAAAGAATTGCATATTGTAGGGATATAACCGCGTTCAAAGATGAATAACAGAAAAAATAAATAAAAGACGTAAGACGATTTATTTTGGGATTGCAAACTTTGAGGTAGTTTTCGGATCGTAGAAAATATAGTTTAAATAATTGCACACATCATCAGCCTATCACCATCCACTGCTGAATGAGGTCCACCCCTACGGAGCACCAACTATCGCGATCTTGGGAAGTCCACACCCTTTCGCTGCCAGCCACTTTCCTCAAGTCGTCGGTATATCGTGCCGCAAAGTGTCCTACACCACGATTACCTAATCATAGCTCCAGCGACCATCAGTCGGCCTGGAGACATAACCGGCCCACGGCAATGTCGGTTACTATAGTTTTCTGTAGACCACTTTCGTTTCAAATTTTATAAATTATCGACTAGAGAAATACCCAGCATGGGCCAGTTCAACGGTGAGTATCCACGTCTTGGCTCCTTAAGTCATTACGGGTAGGACACGCTGGTTAAACGCTTTAGTTTTTAGCGAGTATGGGATCGGTGACTCGAAGGTATGTCTTAGCTTCCCTTATGCCGCCTAACCTAAATAAATATTTCTATCGGCCGATCGGATATCGGATCGAAGTTTTGTCGGCCGAATTGCATATTTTGGCTAGGTACTTAAAGGTATTCTTGCGCAACGTCGATGGCTGCGCCATTTACGGCCACGGAACTCGGGGATACATGCCTATTATACATGATCTTGGTCTCACCAATGTTAATCTCAAGCCCACTCGTCCAGACTGTCAAGCATTTCATCCAGATCACGCATTGCATGATCTACTTCATTAAAATTAATCATAATGTTATGAAAATTGCTTATGAGTCATGGATACCAAATGTTTTACTGTAAAATAATTATTTTGAAAAATGTTTTGAACATTTTAATTATTTTATCAACAAACTGATATGACTGCGACTGATACTGATATTAATAAACATAATTATACAATACTGTTACTGTATTTTTTAAATAATATTTTTAACATTTTTAAAACAAAAGCTTTTATACAACAGCAAAATAACTTTTTAAACAATCACGAAAAACTTTCTTTACATAATTAAATAATATAAAATAATTTACATACTTATTTTCTAATTTAAATTTTACATAACCGAATAAGGAGCTCAAAGAAGGTGGGAACTCATTCAAATTCTTAATAATTTCCCTCGGCAAAGGAATGTACGGTATTCCTTACTAAGTGTGTACACAAAAGTAAGTATATCGCCTTGAGTATGCAATAGGAAGTTATAAAATACAGGATATATCTCCTCTCGTAAACAGTGTAATAAACACTGTTTAAGAGGATTAGTTTGCTTTTACGCATTGTCGTAAATTTAGTATATTCGTGTTGCAGCTGTTAAGACTATCTTAATTGTGTATTATCACACTAATAATATAAAGGCGAAAATTTGTGAGTATATGTGTTTGCATGTGTGTTATTTTTTCATACTTAAATGGCTAGACTAATTTTGATAAAATTAGGTGTGGACGTAGCTGAAACCTTGGATTAACACATAGGCGAAAAAAAATGTGTTTCTGTGGTATGAGCAAGGAATTGAATTATATTTGATAAACTGGGGGTAGCACCGTGGGGCACCGCTAGTTCTTGTAAAAACTAGGGAAAATTCTACAATCTAAGGTATTTCATAACAAAGGAAACAAAATTGATAAATGTTCCTATAATAACCTAAAGCTATTTTATTACTCGTGATGATAATCGAAAGACATGAAAAATCTATATCATATTTCAAAATATATAACCAAGATTACCGGAAATCATATTAAGATTAACAAAAATTATTTATAAAGGAAAAAAAGATAGCAACACCGACATTCCAAACTATCCATATCCCAAACTTAACTATTTCCAAGATATCGGACTGTTAGATTTTGTTTTAAATTGCCAAAATTTTGCGTACCATATTTTTTTACAACTACATTGTTTTATAATTTCCATTATAAAAATTGGAGTTAACAAACTGGGCCGAAGTATATGTTTTATAATAGCAAAAGAAATAAATTTGTAAACACTTTTTTTATTTTGACGAATATTCAACAAAACTATGACCGTAAAGTTACATATTTGTAAAAAGAGATCTTCGTGTTGTCAGCTATCTAACAAGGTAAAAAAGTCTGGGATAGTAGGTTAGAATTCATAGAAACAACTTAGACGAAAGACAGATTAAGAATTAGCGTACAACCCGGTAGTTTCTAGTTGAAAACTTGGCTTTTATTTTTGAACTGTTTCGTTTTCTATTCGTGACTAAATATTGCTAACCAGGCTTTGATTTGTGCTTCTACATTTGTGATACTATACTAAATTTAGCGTTAACATGGTCATCAAGTTGTTATTGGTATAACCTCCAGTTTTTCAAGTTGTATACCGTTTAAAGTGTAACTAAATTGACTGACATTTTTCTTTTTAGTGAAAGTGATAGATTTACATTTATTAACACTTAACGCAAGTTTATTCTTAATTTAGTATGCAGTGAAATGGTCAAGATCTTGCTGAATTTTGTAATGATCATCTTGCTGTTCAATTTTGTGATAAATCTTTAAGTCTTAATCTCTCCTTAATCTCTAAAATATTGCTAAATTTCAAATAGGATGTAACGTCATTTATAAAAAGAGTAAACAGAGGCGGACCTAAAATTGAGCCTTGAGGATCGCTAGAACTGAACAGCAGTATAATCGGATTCATGACCGTTCAAGACTATTTTTTGTGTGCGATTGGTGATGTAAGATTTGAACCAACGCAACAAGTTGCCGCGTATACCATTAAAGGCCAATTTCTCTAATAGTAGTTTATGATCCACCCTGTCAAATGGCTTCCGAAAATCAGTATTAATGCTGTCACACTGTTTATTTTCATCCATACTTTCAAATAAATATGATGTATAAATTATTAAATTTGTATTAGTAGTGCGTTTATTTAAAAAACCGTGTTGTCCGTTATAGATGGATGAATGTTATTATACACTAACCTTTTAAAAGAATTCGACTGAGTGGTTAAGCTGGATATGGGCTGATAGTCCTCTATGTTGGATTTATCTCCACCTTTGGAAACTGGTACAATACGGGCTGCTTTGAATATTGACGGAAAACACCCTCCTTGAGACACGAATTAAATATAAGACATACATGAATAGTTTGAGCAGTAGCTTTCCAAAAAATTGGTGGTATGTTGTCCACTTTGAGCCCTTTTGTAATGTCTAGATTTTTTTTACTCCCGGAGTATTGCATCGCTAGACAACTGGACATGATTAAAGAAAATATCAGATGCAGGGTTGCAATTTGGCCTATCGTCAACATCAAAATTATCAATAACACATGAGGGTTCAAAAACTGATTCGAAAAATGACGAGACCAGAGATCACGGCTCGTCTGGGTTATAGACTGTGGTATTTTTATACGTCATCTTACAATGGCATGTCCATTTTATTCCTCCCATTTTCGACGAAAGACCAAAAACATCTTATATGCTTTTGAATATTATGTTGCATTGATTGATGCACGTTTAAATCTTTTATTCAATAAAGAAAAAAATGCATAGTCCGATTTATTTCAACATTTTTTTGGAAAAAATATATAAAAAGGTGGATGCTTAGAGATACCGTAGGTTGTATAAATTTGAAAATTGGGACATAAAATGCCTTCAAAAATTGACGATTTGAATTGTTTATAAATATGATATGCCTAGTGTTATTCTCACAATAAAGGCGAATGTAACGACAAAAAATACACATACATACACTGGAAAACTTTTCTGGCGCAATCAGATAATAATACTGTGCATGCACTGTCTTCTAAAGTGATTCATTACGACCTTTATATGGAGACGACAATATAAAATAATATTAACACCAATACAATACAAGAACAACGTCGCCGACATCCTTTAATTATATATACGAGTACATGAGACCTCGTTTATATTTATACAAGAATCTGTGGCATTGTTGAGAAAACCGCCTTTATAAAAAAAAAAAAACAATGTAGGTGTTTCTAATGATCACACTACCTTGACGGCTGATTTAACAATATATTTTCTTCAAATATTAGCTGAGTTCGGGGACAAAGGTCTACTCATATAAGTATAGATACTAATGATATAAAAGTTAAGAAACTAGGACGACCCTTCAGTTCGCCAACCCTTTTACGCACTACAAAGAGTGTTTCTGATAGATTAAATGTTTTATGTACGTAGTATAGTTTTATTTCACAACGTTAAAGTTAAAAGGCTTAAAAGAAATTGTCGTGTCTTATATACTTACCGTTTAGAAAAACTCTACTAGTGCTAGTACAAGTTTACAAATAATCTGCGATTTTAGAGAAGACCACGCAATAAAATCTTAAGATCTCAGTTAGTCTAGAGTTCTCAAAATGCTTGTAGAAGCAAACGAAATTTGACTTTCCAGATTGTTATTTGTTATTTTTTTAAATGATTACAATTACTTATATTATTACTGTAGATTAACAGTAACATCATCAACATCAACA